TGTTCACAACAATGTAGAGCTATGGATTTCGTAAAGAAACATACATACATACTTTAGTTAAGGTATCAAAGAATAAACAACACAAATAATACCCCAAAAAGGAAGTTTAAGAAGTTAACCCTATGTAAATAAACTTCCAAAGAAATAAAATTTAAAAAAGTATGCTTTAATAAAATCTGAGACGGATTAAAATTTAAAAATGTATGCTTATAATAAAATCTGAGATGGATAAAAACCTAAGAAATATGTATGTATAATTTAAGAGCTGTTTTGAAACGTGTTATCTATCTCAATGACATTGGCGGGCAGGTCATTCCATTCAAGTAACAAGAATTGTTAAACAAATAAGCACAGTTGTATAGAACTAAGGATTCTGTCAATACTTTCGTGAAAGTCTTTGCTTAGCAGAAATATTTTTGTTATACTTTGACATAATTTGAACTTTTTTAAGAAATGCCAAATATTCTTCAAAATCTTTTTTTTCTCAATAATCAAGGAACAAAGGCATGTGATGTTTTAAAAGTATTAATAGAGTAAATGATTTATACCGCTGATATGAGTTACTAAAAAATGTTGTCTTGCTTGTTTACATAAGTCTTCATTTTTTCTCTACATACCTGTAGATTGGCTAATGATGTTAAGAAAATATAAAAATGCAACCTTATCTCTGCACTGGGATATAAACATGCCAGGAAGCATAGTCTTGGTAGTTTTTTGGATACATATTCATGTACAATGAATATATGAAGTTCATATATTTTGAACTGTGGTTATAGATACGTATGATGCATGATACTCGCAGTAGAGAGCGCTATTTATGCAATAGCGAAAATCAGACCTGAAAAAAATGAAGTCTGTATGGGATTCGAACCACTGACCTATTCCGTACAGGCCTGATTTCGCTATTGCATAAATAGCACTCTCTACTGCGAGGATCGAGTATCATACACATCTTCATGTGTTTTGGACAAAACTATGACCATGGTTAGGGTCAGATTAATGATGCTCAAAAATTCAGGCATTATGCTTTTGAGCATAACCCATAAATGCATTGCATTATGGCCAAAATTTAGGCTAATGATTTTCCATTTAGCTTGCCCAAGAGCCCTTCAAACTCCTCCTCCTTCCCACCCCCCTCCATGTTACCAACAGGTGAAACCTTACTGGAGAGAAAATACTTGCCACACTTAAAAACAAAACATTGAGTACCCGACACTAAAAACTTTACAGAAAAGTACTAAAGATTTTATTCATATTTACTGTAACTGTATACAGCCCTTACTTTAAGATGAACTCAACTTTTCTCAGCATTTACCTGTAGAAGTAGTAATTTAGTATAGTTGTGTAGTTTTCATTGCTAGTTTTTATCATTTTAATTTTTTCAAGGGCCCCACTTGATAGCAGTGCTTAAGGCATCTGAATAGGCAACCGTGAATAAATAAAGGTCTCTCTCACTACTAGAGATACTAGAGTAAAAGTGCACTTTCTTTCAAATAATTCATGTGCCTGCCAACGAAGTCCAGGTTTCAACTGGTAAATGCCTTGAAAATTATTAACATTATATTACAGTTGATCGTGGTTGCTATAAAGAACAAAATGATTACAAGTTATTACAAAATTCAAGTAGAAGGAATAGAAAAATGCAAAACAACAAAGGAAATGCAATCAGACAAGGAAAGACTTTCAAACCTTATATGACTTGTGAACGCGAAGGACAGAAAAACTTAGAGAAGAACAGTGAAACAAACGATGTCAAACTTAACAGACTCTGATACAACGTTCAATTTAAAGAATGAAATTAAACAAAGCAAAATTATGTGAATCAAACTAACAGAATATAATGGTAAGAATGCGAAAACAATGAGAAAAAATATGTGTGCAAAAGCACAAAATGCAATTAAGAACATGAAGAAGAAATTGCCAAGCAGGAATGATGTAGTAACAACTCAAGTAACATTTGAAGTTAAACATTGCAATCAACTTTCTTTAAATTTATTTCAAAGCCAAAGTAAATTTGAAATGTATAGCTTGTGTGTAAGGGTATACTGTAGACTAATCTCCATGCAGGCTACATTTATGCCACTATTGTAACCAGTAAATATTTAACCTTTTTGTTCAAATGGAGGTAAAATGGCAAAGCATAGCTGCTTTACATTTACTGTGCAATCACTGTTAATACTCATGTGTTTTGAGACGGCGAACAACACCCGGACCTTTAAAAGACTGTCTTGAAATGCGCCAAAAGTTTGACTCGAAGGTCAGCCAGTTTCAAATTTATTAAGTACTTCTGCCAATTATTTATGTTGTACCAAAGATTCAGACCTATTTTCCCCATCTCTTGGAAGTCTATTGCCTGTTTTCACATGACGTCACGCGGTATCCATAATTGGGTATCCGCCATTATGGAGCACCTCTGCAGCGTAATCCCATGCTAGCCAGTTGACACGAGTCTCGCAGTACTTTTCAATTTGATCATGGATATTTCACAGGAAAACTGCGATGAGGACCTGGATAGTCTTTCTAAATATATACCAGTGCTTTCTGAGTACGCAAAATGTTTAGAAACGCACGTTAAGAGGAGATATTTACAAAAAACTTCACAAGTTGGAGTCGACCCGGTTGTTACGAAAACTAAGACCCGGCGTCTTTTCATTGATTTTCACTTTTCCGGTGGGTCTTAGTTTTCGTAATTACGAAAGTTCGTTACGAAAACTAAGACCCTATCTTATTTTTCTTGTTTATCAATTTTATTTTATTTTATTTTAATAAATAGAATATGTTGAAATGCAAAAAGCGAATAATAGACAGCAATTAACACCCCGTCTTTTCAGCACTTCTCCGGTGGCTCTTAGTTTTCGTAATTACGAACATCATTACGAAAACTAAGACCCCATCTCATTTTTCTTTATATTTATCAATTTTTTGAAGGTGAGCTGGAGAGTTCAGACATCATCTTGATTTGTTGCTTTTTCGGTTGGATCGAAGAACCTGGTTGCTTTAAGATTAAGTGGGATTTCCTATAACCTTTCCTTGCGTTTCGAAGTATTTTTTCGCGCGACGGGCGATTCTTAATTTTCCTCCAAGACACTGAGCTATTTTTGAATCGTTCTACGAGATGCAAAAATAATGGAACTTGAGGAAATTTTTTTAAATGGAACAGTTCAGACTTAATCAGGGTTTGCCCACTTTATGAGTAGTGTCGTTAGTTGTAAAACGGAAAACATTTTTTATCACATTTCAGGTGGGATCTTAGTTTTCGAAAAAAAATACTGTTGCAAGTTGCATGCACGACTTTTACGTGTAATATCCCTTCATGGAACCGAATTTTTTTTTTAAGTGAAGAGTTGAATCGTTTTCTACTTTCTGCATCAATTTTTTTTCAAGCTGCACAACAAAAATGCTTGTAGTAAGGCTCTTGCAACTTGTTTCGCCGCACTGACTGTAGTCGACATATGCGTCATTTTCAACTTACGCAATTTTTGTCGCGAGACAAGTTGCATGGTATTTGTAACGTGTAACATGGTACGTGCAACTTGCAACAAATTTTGTTGCGGGATAAGTAGCAGGAAAAATTGTTACGCGTAACAGCAGCTTAAGTGTGCAAACCCTGATATTAATTCTGAACTGTTCCATTTGAAAAATTTCCTCGTTTCACTATTTTTGCATCTTGTTGAATGACCCAAAACAATTTCCGTTTATTATTCAATTTACTTTTCATACGCTTTTTACATTTCAACATATTCTCATAAAATAAAATAAATAAACAAGAAAAATAAAATGGGGTCTTAGTTTTCGTAATTAGCTTTCGTTATTTTTGCATTTTGTAGAACGATTCAAAACAGTTGCAAAACAATTCTTAAAATAACTCAGTGTCTGCGTCGCACGAGAAAATACTTCGAAACGCAAGGAAAGGTTGTAGAAAATCCCTCTTAATCTTAAAGCAGCCAGGTTCTTCGATCCAACCGGAAAAGCAACAAATCAAGATGATGTATAAACTCTCCCGCTCACCTTAAAAAAAATGATAAATATAAAGAAAAATGAGATGTGGTCTTAGTTTTCGTAACGAGGTTTCGTAATTACGAAAACTAAGAGCCACCGGAGAAGTGCTGAAAAGACGGGGTGTTAATTGCTGTCTATTATTCGCTTTTTGCATTTCAACATATTCTATTTATTAAAATAAAATAAAATTGATAAACAAGAAAAATAAGATGGGTCTTAGTTTTCGTAATGAGCTTTCGTAATTACGAAAACTAAGACCCACTGGAAAAGTGAAAATCAATGAAAAGACGGGGGTCTTAGTTTTCGGGGTATTAGGTCTTAGTTTTCGTAACAACCGAGTCGACCCTGCTAGTATCCCCAGTGATCAGTTCGATCCCGAATGCTTGCCATCTGTCGAGGCTACGGCCTTGGTTAGCTACCTAATTTTGGAAACTAGTTACTACACTAAGCAGCAGTTTAAATGCCACAAAAGCTTGGAGGCTTACAACCAGATGGTGAGCGGATTTGTTTCAGACCAATGGCAGTGACTGCAGAGTGTTTGCGATTGCTTTTGCAACATGTCTTGCATTTGGTGAAAATCCAGCTCATATGACACTTGATGTACCAAAATGCGGCCACATCTGGCAACATGCCTTAAACACAAAAATATTTCTTTGTTTCCACACTTCTGGGCAATATCAGAGTTTTGGAGACTCCCGATAATGTCCATCCAACCCCCACCCCTCTTACAGAGTTTATATGAAAAATTCTAACCACTACTCCCA